TTATAGCTTATTAGAAAAATAAGTGAAGGACACAAATACACAATTTACAAAGGAAGAAAGAAAAATGACTAATAAGCATTTTGTAGTGTCCACTTCAGTAATAATCAAAGACATGCAAGTTAAACAACAATATCATGACATTTTCATCCTCTTTGATATTAAAAAGTCTATAATCCTCAGTGATATAAGAAGGTGGATGATGAGGTAAGTACTCTGATACGCAGCTGCTGACCTGTACTTTCATGCATTTCTAGAAAGAGTCTTGGTGATATGAAATCAACAGTCTTAAAAGATTTCTTACACTGCCATCCCCCCACTCCCATCCCCAAATTATTGAGATGAGCATTTAACATCACCAACTTTAAACTTATTTCCAGCTAAATCCTTGCACTCTGGCTGTGTGCTGTAGAACTTTTAAGTTTTTTTTTAAAAGATTATTTATTTATTTATTACAGAGAGAGAGTGTGAGCACGAGCAGGGGGAGGGGGAGGAACAGAGGGAGAAGGAGAGGCAGACTCCCCGCTGAGCAGGGAGCCTGATGTGGGGCTCAATCCTAGGACCTCGAGATCATGACCCAAGCTGAAGGAAGATAGCTTAACTGACTGAGCCACCCAAGAACTTTGAGCTTTTAAGTTTTAATGAATCATTTGGCCATTTCTTGGAGTAGGCTCCACGTTTTTTTTTTTTTTTTTTTTAAGAAAACATTGGCGCTCCCTTGATTTACCTTTGACAGTTGGGGCAATCATCTATCCATCAGTTTTCTATCTGTTATCAAAAGGTGTTAATTCAACCCGATAGGCTATTAAAATCTTGGAGTCTTCCCTTTCCTGGCCACGGGATCTTTAGATCCTCTTTTCTTCAAAGTGCACATATTCAGGCAAAAGCATCGCATGTCCTCCACAGGCCTTTGGCCAAGTTGGGGTGGGGGAATAAAGTAAAAGTCTTAGAGCAGTTGTTCTCAAATTGCAGCATGAATTGAAGTCACTAGAAAGAGTTGATAGAACAGATTGCTAGTTCCCACCCCTATGTTTCTGATTTGATAGAGCTGGAGTCAGGCCTGAGTATTTGCATTTCTAAGCTCCCACATGATTCTGATGCTGTTGGAAAACTACTGGCCTAGAGGAATTACTCCTCAGGGGAGCAAAAAAAGTAGTTATTTGACAGTTAAAAGAAATAAAATTATGGTGAAAGATCCATACACTGAAAACTACAAGACACTGATGATAGAAATTGAAAACACAAATAAATGGAAAGATATTCCATGCTCATGAACTGTAAGAATTAATTTTGTTTAAATGTCCATACTACACAAAGCAATCTATAGATTCAATACAATCCTTATCAAAATTTCAATAGCACTTTTTATAGAAATAGGAAAAAAAACACAGAAGACCCCAATAGCCAAAGCAATCCTGAGAAAGAAGACCAAAGCTGGAGGCATCACACTTCCTGATTTCAAACTATATTACAAAGCTATAGCAATCAAAACAGTATGGTATTGGCATAAAAACAGACACATTGATTGATGCAACAGAATAGAGAGCCCAGAAATAAACCCAGGCATATTTGGTTAATTAACATGACAAAAGAATGGAGAATATACAATGCAGAAAGGATAGTCTCTTCAATAAACAGCGTAGGGAAAACTGAACAGCCACATGCAAAAGAATGAAACTAGATCACTTTCTTATACCATGCACAAAAATTAACTCAAAATGGACTAAAGACCTGAATGTAAGACCTGAAACCATAAAACTCCTAGAAGAAATTATAGGTGGTAAGCTCCTTGATGTTGGTCTTGGCAATGATTTTTTGGATATGACACCAAAAGCAAAGGCAACAAAAGCAAACAACAACAACAAAAATAAGTGGAACTACATCAAAGTACAAAGCTTCTGCACAGCAAAGGGAACCATCAACAAAATAAAAAGGAAACCTACCGAGTGGGAGAAAATATTTGCAAACCACATATCTGATAAGAGGTCAATATCTGAAATATATAAAGAACTCTTACAATTCAATAGTAAAAACAAATAATCTAACTAAAAAATGGGTAAAGGATCTGAGTAGACATTTTCCCAAGGAATATATGCAGATGGCCAATAGGTATATGAAAAGGTACTCAACATCATTAATCACCAGGGAAATGCAAATCAAAACCACATCGAGATATCACTTTGTACCTATTAGAATGACTATTATTAAACAGACAAAAAAAATAAGTGTTGGTGAGGATGTGGAGAAAAGGGAACACTTGTGCACTGTTAATGGGAATGTAAATTGATACAATCACTATAGAAAACAATTTCAGAAGTAAATTTCAGAAGTTCTCCTCACAAGAAAACAATTTGTAACTATGTATGGCGATGGATCTTAACTAGACTTATTGTGGTGACCACTTTGCAATCATTAAGTTGTATACCTGCAACGAAAACAATGTTAATGTCAATTATATCTCAATTAAAAAAATAAAATTATGATGGAATGCTTTCAATCATATTTCAGCCTGAGGGACATTTGGTAATTATACCAAATATTTTTGCCCTAATCCCCCAGCCAGACTTTGACAGTTATTTACTACTTTTTTAAAGATTTATTTATTTATTTGTGAGAGAGAGAGAACAAGTGCAAGCAGGGGGAGGGGCAGAGGGAGAGGGAGAGACTCTCAAGCAGACCCTCCTCTGAGCGTGGAGCCCAACACGGGGCTCTATCTCACAACCCCAAGATCATGACCTGAGCCAAAACCAAGAGTCGGATGCTCAACCGACTGAACACCCCCAGTCACTTACTACTTTTAATGTGAACCAGTTCATGGATTCCCTGTTAGACTTCATTTTCCTCAAGTGCAGTCCCTGTTTTAAACTTTTCTTAAATACTCTGTAGTTCTTTGCACAAGTATAAGATCAATATAGATTTGCTAATGGAACTAAATTCATAAAACAGCAAATTCTGAGAAGAAAGAGCCTGTAGAAAGTTCTGGGCCCATAACCACAGTTACGATTTAGGATTTAGTGCTTCGCCCCATCAAGGAATGTCGCTGAATCCCCATCTTTCCACTATCCCAGTTGTAGCCGAGGATAAGCTGAATAAACTTTGAGGTTGAAGATTTTAATGACTGTAAAGTGCCTTTAAAATTCTCTGGATGTGCTCTACTTCAGGATGCCAATAATAATGGTAGATAATCATGGGACAGAGATGGTATTATTCAGTTCATCCTTGTCCTTAATGAAGTTGCAGGGAAATGGGAGCGGGGATGTGAGAGACATAAATAATAGAATTAGCTTTTACTGGAAAACAATTTTTAAAAACCAACAGTTCTCATGTATCTGCCTTGGAGGGTTCTTTTTTTTTTCTAAAGGGAAGATGATTTCTTGGAATGAGATTTTGTGGTTGGGTATTGAATGTTGTCTTTTTAAAAAATTGTATTTATTTATTTATTTAATTATTATTATTTTTTAAAGATTTTATTTATTTATTTGACAGAGAGAGAGATAGCAAGAGCAGGAACACATGCAGGGGGAGTGGGAGAGGGAGAAGCAGGCTTCGCACGGAGCGGGGAGCCCGATGCGGGGCTCAATCCCAGGACCCTGGGACCATGACCTGAGCCGAAGGCAGGCGCTTAATGACTGAGCCACCCAGGCGCCCCTGTATTTATTTTTTTATATTGATGTATTTACTTTCATCCAGAGACCTTGGACAATGTCCTATTTTGTCCTGATGAAGCTGAGACTTTGCTACTCTTTCTAGTTATAATAATAGTAATGGCTAACTTGTTTACAGCACTTACTAATCACTAGGCACTGTTCTAAGTATTTTACAAGTACTAATTCATTTAAATCATAACAGTCCTATTAGATGGATCTTTTTATTATCTATTTTATAGTTAAGGAATTGGACATACAGCAAGAGTAAGGGGCGAGTCCAAGGCCACAGAGCCAGGAAGTGATGCAGCTGGGATTCATAGAGGTCATGGTCTCACCACTGTGCAGAGCTTTGGGCCTAAAACAATGAAGTTGAACTACAGCAAGGGACAGGGAGCCTGTAGTCTTTTAAGTCAAACCACCCATGTGGAATTCTGGTCCAATCTACAAGACCTCTCTGGGCCACATTTTCCATAGCTGTGAAAATGAGAATCCTAATAATCACTTGACCGGTTTGAGTAAAAGGTAACGTATGGGCAAACAACTCTAATAGTTCCATGAGCACCGTGGGTACTCAGCACACATGAGATTTTGTCTTTAATGAAAATAAATCTTCAGAACAAGGAGAATCTGCTTTCTCTGGTTCCCATACATCTCTGGGTTCTATTCCCCTCCTCAGAAGCCTGGTGCTGGGAATGAGAACAGTATACATGTGATCTTAACTCTCAGGGCCCACGGCACTGCACATTTGGAAGAGGTGTCACTCATACCCACACTTATTTTGACTGAGTCTCTAAAATTGCCCGCGAAGGAGGCAAGAGGGAAGCCCTCCCCAAACTGAATTTTCTGGAATTTTTCTATGGCAGGTGAGGCAGGGTGATAATTTTAAGTATTACCTCCCTGAGGCCTCAATGAAGCAAAACCAAAAACCTTTTAAGCTTTTTTTTTTTTTTAAGATTATATTTATTTATTTGAGAGAGAAAGAGAAAGAGCGAGAGCACAACCAGGAGGAGGGGCAGAAGGAGAGGGAGAAGCAGGGAGCCCGATGTGGGGCTCAATCCCTGGACTCTGGGATCACTACCTGAGCTGAGGGCAGACGCTTAACTGACTGAGCCACCCAGGCGCCCCCATTTTAAGCTTTTTAAAAAGCTACAAAACAAAGAAGAATTATGGCATAAAGATTCAGATGCATTCAGACGGTGAGTCTCCACCATCCCCCAACCCCAACCGTGGTGATCTCCAAGCTGACACAGAGTGTGGGCCTCCCTGGGCCACGGGCCGCGGCTCACCACTGAAGGCCTCATCCCCTGGCCCCTGCCTGCAGCCCTGGCCCGGCGCATTGCCTGTGGATAGCCTGCCTTTGACCGGGACCTTGTCTGTGAGCGTGGTAGAAGGGAAAGCGTCGCTCTCTGCCTAATCGGACACACCTGTTGGAAATTTGTGTCTGATCCAGGGGGGCTGTGGGCCCCACCCCACGACTGCATTGCCCCTGAGGAGCCGTGCCCCGGAGACAGGTGGAATGAAAGGCATTGGGTTTGGAATAGTGCCTCCACCAGATCTGGTCTGTATTACTGTTGTAAGAGCTGAGGCGGCATGGCGCACGATTCTCAGAATACTGCATGGAATGAGTCATTTAGCCTCCATGATGGGCCTTATTATCTCTTGTGATGAAGCAACTGAGACTCAGAGAGATTAACTGACTTGCTGGATTTCTACAGCCAGTAGCCCTCTCTCCAGTACTCTCCCCTCTGTTGCCAATCTGTCATGGTTTCCCATGGCTCCCGGTTTCTGGAGGAAACCAGAGCCAACTCCATCACTCAGCTACTGTCAGGGACCTTCAGGTTCTAGCTCCTCGACACCCCTCCAGGGTTTACTTTTTGCCCTTCCCATTTCACATGCAGGATGTGATGAATTGTGTTCAGGGCTTCAAATGTATTATATTCTCTGTTGCCTCAGGACATTTGCACATGTTTCTTCTGCCTGGAACCACCTTTCTCTCTCATCTCCTGGTGCCGGGGTAATCACTATTCAGAATTTGGGATAAACTTAGATCCAGTTTTCTACTTGACTAGAAGTGAGTATTTACCCCCACATTTGCTATGTAGTACACTCTTTCTTTGCTTATAACACAATATTTTACTTTACTGTATTGACTGATGTCACTTGGTGTCTTCCTCTAGATTTAAGGCTGGATGTGGCCAGACTTTGTCCATAGAACATGGAGCCAGATATGGAGTGGGTGATCAGTAAGTTCTTTGATGAATGAGAGATTGACTTGATCTGCTGTCTTATCCATACTACTGTCCCATCTCTAAAAATCCTAAAATTCCTATTGATAATTATCATCAGTATGACTTAATTAATCCTTTATTGTCTCTATCTTTGCCTAGCAAGAGCAAAAATCCTTCGATACCAAAATCTTTAGTTCAAAAGAAGTTGTAATGGTAAACAATGAAAGGAAAGCAGCCGAAAGGAATGGCCTTTCTTTAACTTTTTAAAAAAAGCTGTTCTCCTGTTTCCCTCGAAGCCACTGACACATGTATAACCCTGGTCTCTCTGTAACCTCATAACCCCGGAAACCACACATCATGTGCTTTGGATCTCACATATCACTCATGCTCAGAGGCAGGGTGAGAATGGAAAAAGCATTGGTTTCAGAGTAAAACAAACTCAGGCCATATTCCCAGCACAGCCACTCTCTAGATGTGTGAGTTTGTGCATGATGTTCTGTCTCTCGGGGTCTCGATTTCCTCCTGCCTGAAATGAGGATGCTAACATCTCCTTCTCCAAGGGGTTATGAGGATTCGATGGAGAAGCAGATGCCAAGTGTCCAGCTAAGGCCAAACACCTAGCCAACAGTCCCTGATGTTGATATTCCACTCTGTCTTCTTTCTTTGTCCTTATCCCAGTGGGTTCGGGTGCAGGAATGTTATAGCATGTGTGCAGGGATGATTAACCTGGGCTTTGCTGGGTCTGTAAACACCCTGAAACTACATGCAGAGTTGTGTAATATGGGGAATGTGTGTCAGTTTCCTGAGTACCACCAACTTGGTGACTTAAACAACAGAAATTTACTGCCTCGTAGTTTTGGGGGCTAGAAGTCCAAAATCAAGGTGTGGGCAGGATTAGTTCCTACTAAGGCCTATGAGGGAGAACCTGTTCCAAGCCTCTTTCCCAGATTCTGGTGTCCTCAGGTATTCCTTGATTTATAGGTGGTGCTCTTGCTTTGCCTTCACATCGTTTCCCTCTCTATGTGTCTCTGGGTCCAGATTTCCCCTTTTTATATGGACATCAGTTATATTAGATGAGGCCTGACATAATGGCCTCATCTTAAACTTGATCATCTGCAAAGGCCCAATTTCCAAATACAATCATATTTGCAGGTACTGGGGGTTAGGACTCCAATATATCTTTTTGGAGGAGACACAATTCAACCTCTAGCAATATCCACAGCTTTAATTGGGTTCTTAAAGGAGTCCATAGACGTTCTAGAGATTAAGAACTAGTGGCCTGAAAATCTGCTTCATGGTTTACCTTGTATCAACCTAACCACCAACTTCATGGGGTGTATCTTAGTACCAAATCGTGGAGAAACACCACAGTGATTTGGATGTGGTTACTGATGGGCAGAGAATACATAAAGTCTCTTTCCACACCAGACTTGATTATGATTGGCAACAACTGTTGTCTGGTTAAAATCCTGATGGCTGTACTAAGAATTCCTTGAGTCTCACACTCAAAAAGTTTACAATCCAGTGGGTGAAATGTTTTTACCAAATAACACAAATGAATGTATAATTATAAATTGAGATTAGTTCTAGGATAGAAAGAAATATGATTTTATTGTAGCATATAATTAAGGAATTTGACTTGGTCTGGATCACTCAGGGAAGGCTTCATGGAGGAAATGATGCTTCAGCTGATATTGTAAAGACCAAGTAAAGTGCACTTCAGAGGAAGAGTATTCCAGGCAGAAGAACAGCATGTACAAAGGCCCTGTGGTACAAGGGAACATGGTACATTAGAGGAACTAAATGAAAGCCTGGAAAGGCTGGAACAGAGAGCTGGGGGTAGGAAAATGAGAGAACGGTGTGGGACGAGGCTGAAAAGCATTTGGGCATAGTAAGGAATCTGGGAAATTACCCTAGAAGAAGGAGGAAACCATAGAAAGGCTTCTCCATCTTATTTAACCTGTATGTTAAACTGTACTCTTAGCCCCCTATCGCTCTTAATTGCTTGAAATTCTTAGCCTTGTTTCTTTAAAGATACTAGTTTATTCTGGTATATTCCTATTACTCTGGCTCCCCTTTTAGTGTCATTTTTCCCTGTCTGCTTCTGAAATGTTGCTTTCCACTCTCTCCCTGAGTGATCTCCTCCTGTTGCATGCTTTCAGTTATCCTCTTCTGTAGCTGCTTCCAAAACTTTTCCCTGACTGAAGTTGCCCTTCCCATCTGCTTACAAAAGAAATACTGCACAATTTTGGTCAACGTGAATATCAATATGGTCTGTTTGAGAACTCTGGTAACTTCTTTTTAGAGGATGTTCTCAAATCCACATCGTTTGGACTATTAACATGGATTTGCCAGAGGGCAAAGGGGAATGAGTTACCTTTAGGGAAGCTTGAGCAGTGACTGGTGGGGTGCTCTCAGCAAGGCCTCCCCAGTCTGCAGTGGAAAGAGTTGCTAGGTGGTTTTCCCTTGTGCTTTTTCCTGACATATAAAACACATGCTTTGAGTTTGCTGAGGTTTCTGCTCATCTTTCCTGAGGGACCCTGACTCAGGGTTACAATCACCCTCTGCTTACGTCCATGTGGGCATGGAACATCACCCTCACTGAGCTGGTGTGGGAGGAAGCCAGCAGACTGATGCACTTGAAGATCACTGTGGCAAGGTCTACGTGAGTGCTAGAAACGAAGACTGAAGAGGAAGTCTTGGCGGGTCTGACGCTCAGGGAGTGATGCTCCTAGGGTACCTACTGTGGAAGAGAAACAGGAGGAATAGGGGAAGAAAGGGAGAGAGGGAGAGAAGAAAGCAGGGAGGCAGGAGAAGATTCAAACTAGTATTTACTGAACATTGCACAATCCCCTTCCACGCATACACTTTCTTTGATCCTCACAAATAGTCTAGAAAGGTCGGTATTTTTTCTATTAATGTTTACAGGCTCAGAACTATAAAATGGGTCTCTTGAAATAAAAAACGAATCACTTGTCAGATGCGTTGGCAATCCATCATGTTTCTTTCTTTTGTAGTTGATGTGCTTTCCGCTGTACCACAAAGCCTAGGTCATGGATTTGGTGAATTAACAAGAAGGCTTGAGTCATATTGGTTTCTGTCACTCCCCTGAGGATTCAGCCACACCATCGGGTTCTCTGGGCTCTTTCCTCAAGACACTTTGTCCTGAACCTATACATTTAACTTGAACTAACTCAGCCAGAAACCCAAACCACATGGCTGACAGGAAGTACCGGCAGGCTAGGGACCCAGTGGTTTAACGGGCACAATCACCTCTGTCCCATCTCTAGAATCTCTCCCACTTTGTGCAGTCCCTCCTAATTTCCGGTCAAGTTTTTCCTCCTGATTTGGCTCAGTTCATACTCTTTGACCATTGGATTTATTTTTTACTGACTGTAACCTAGTACTAATTAAGGATTTGCCTCCTGAGCCACTCTTGGGCCATACTGGACTTACTTAGGTCCTACCTGAAAGCGTAATTCTCATACTTCTCTACCTGGCTGATACTCCACATGCTCCAATGCTGAACCCTTCAAAGGCAGGAGAGCGATCACAGAGAACCATAAAGGGAAGAGCTTTGAAGGGCCTAAGGCTCTTCCAACAATAGCCTCCTTAAATAAACTGTACCTGCCCCATAGCAGGAATGTTAAGGAATTTGAATGGAAGTTCATCTAGCAAGAACTACCTGCTCTAGTCATCATTAATGGAATATATTGGGCAAATGCTCATTTGCCAGCATGAAGGGTGAATTCCTTTTTACTCAACTCAGCCATTCTGTCCTTGGGAACTCCAAAAGGTTTTTTGCAAACCCCCATTAACAATCACTCCCCAACAGTGAGTTCCCGTGTTGGGTAATCCCAATATACGTGTCTCTAGTTCTGAATTGCTTTCCCCCCTCCATGCCATGCCCAGCATTTTGCCTCCATTCCCTGTGCACTGTGAATTTCCAAAAGGACCCCATTCTCATAGTCACCTTCAGCCATGACTTCCAGACACTGCTGACTCATTCTCTGCCCCTCACTTGCTGTTATTCCTTCTTACCCATGTGTTGGCACTGATTGAGACATGGATCCAATCTTTTCCCATTGCTTCCACAAACAAATTATTCAAGGTCTTTACCGCAATTTTAGGCAGATAGAAGGGATTTATAGATAGCACAGAATATAGCCTAAGATCGAACATGAATACTAAGAGTCTCTTGGAAACTGCCCCTTGACGCTTGGCCATCTCCTTCGGCAACCGCCTCTCCTTCCGTTTCTCCTCTCCGCATTCCCGGATCCCTATCCTTTTCTAATTGAGAGCAGTTGAGCTCTCTCTTTTACTTCCTTTCTTTCCTAACCAATGTTCTCAGTGCCTATCTCAGCTGCTATCCCAAGGGGCCTGTCAAGGTATTTTGCTAAATTAAGACAGCTGTTTCCCTAAGAGCCAGTGACTGAGATGATAGTTGTCTTTGACAGAACGTAAACACAGAGCCGTTCTTGTTACTGGAGGAGTCGGACACCCATGTGGGTGTAAACGGAGATCTACCGGATGGCAGCCCTCGTTCACCCTTCTCTGCAGGTGTTTTTGCCTTTTTTAGAAAAGAGATATACTCTGGTCAGAGCACTCACATCCCTTCAGAAGAAGAATATTGAAGTCACTCTGTTTCTCCTTCCAAGCCGCATGGCAAGGAGCAGCGTGGGGACAAATGCACAGCATGGGGATGCCTCTGACCCACTCTCAGATGTTCTCTGCACAGAAGTCTCACATCTTCTGGGCTTCAGGGACGAAAAAGAAAATGCCCCAGCTGTCAAAACTTCAAGGTCATCCTGGACCCTAAAATTTGGGCAGGGGAGTTTATGAATTCCTTTACGTCACTGACAAAGCAAAACCAAATCAAGCAGTTACTAAGATAATTTTTTTTTTTTTTAAGTTCTCCACATCAACATTCAAGCCACTCTGTGTCTCTGGAAACTCATGGAACCCAGTCGGAGGGAGTCATGAACTTGGAAACTGGAAGGAGGAAAAGCAATGGACGTGCTATTGTGGTCATTGTAAGTAATTAAAATATGCAAGCTTTAATAGAATTACATGTAACTTCAGCCACTTACCTGGTTTATGCATTTCAGTGTTTAAATTAGTTAAAATTTTTCTTCCTGGAGTTTTCTGAGAAATTTGACCATTATGACTGAGGGGCTTTCTCAATTATGATTATTTCCAAGTCTACCCCTCTCTTTAACTCTTTAGCTTCTTTAAGTGCTAATAAATGTAGATTGAATGAATAACCAAATGGATGTGGGAAAGAAGAAAGAGAGAAGGAAATAGGGGACACAGGCATGAGAGAGAGAGAAAGAGTTGATCTGAGTATTTCTTTTGATTAAAACATTATTCCTGAGGTATCTGGGTGGCTCAGTTGTTTGAGTGTCCAAGTCTTGATTTCGGCTTAGGTTATGACCTCAGGGTCCTGAGATTGAGCCCCGTGTTGGGCTCGGCACTCAGTGCAGAGTCTGCTTAAGAGTCTCTCTCTCTCTCTTTATCCCCTTCAGCCCCTCCTCCTGCTCACACCCTCTAAATAAATAAATAAATAAATAAATAAATAAATAAATAAATAAATAAAATCTTAAAAAAAAAAAACCCAGTATGTAGAATAATCAGTATCACCACATAAAAATATGACATTTAAGGAGAACACTCAATCCATCAGTAATGAAAAACAGCTATTATATTCAGGATGATATACTGTATCATAAAGCAGCTCAGTATGTCTTACTAAGATCATTTGATTAATAACAGAAGCAGCTTTTCTGGTTAAAATCTCAGAAAAAAAGTATGAGGGAGCGCCTAGAAACAGAAATCAGTATTTGCTGTCTATTCAAGACCTGTGCACACAGGGGGAAAATGATTCTGGATGGCACTATTTCCCATTTTCATGACAACACTCCCTCAAAGTTCTCACAGTGCAGTACTATTGTTTTAAAGACCCATTGATCAAATACTGTTTTATCTAAAACTAAGCTAGAAAATATTTAAGGAGGAAAAAGCCAACTGGTGGTTTTATCCTCATCATTTTCTTTTCCTCCTTTCCCCCTTCCTTTCTTCAAAACTACCAATCAGCATAAGTACAAAAGAACCACGATCTAACCACAGGGTTTGGTTCAAGGAAGGCAGAAATTTCAGCTCATAAGCCCCAAAGTAATGAAGCCAGTGATTCAGTAAAGAAAGGGAAAGTAACATTCTCATGGAGAAAATGTGACCTTCTAATATGGAGGCAGTTTTCAGTTCAAGCTGCCTGGAAGCCTTGACAGGGATCAAGAGGAATGGTTTCCCAGGTAGCTTCCTGAAGGGCTGTTGCTAGATGCTTTCTGTTCCCTGCCCTGGAGTTATGTCTGGCATCACAAAGTGAGGCCCATGGCTGCTTTGGAACTGTTGGAGCTGAGCCCTGTTTGAGCTGAGCCACAAACCGAAAGGCATGGCTGGGGCCCCTCTCTGCTCAAGCCACATCTGTTGCTGACTGTCCTGTGTCATGTGTGGGGCTCTCTCTTTGGCTTTGTCTTCCATACGTTAGGACAGATATGAAGCTGTTTTAGGATGTCAGAAACCAAGGGATACAGATGGCCAACTCTCACAGAAGCAAATTACTAAATTTTCATTTCTGAACAACGGTGCAGCAATAATTTCAGCAGCAAATACTATTTCTGGAGCTTTTACTTTGACTCAGATAGTTTCATTGAATATAATGACCATCATTCTAGAGGGAAAGCCCTACTATTATCACATTCTGTTGTGCAGAAGAGGAACCGGAGGTTTATCCAGGTAAACTCATGTACTCAAGTTCATGAGGGCATACTCATGGCAGAGGTGTGGCGTGAAGCCAGGCCATCTGCATAGAAAGCTTATGTTCTTAACTGCTATGTGGTATTACATGTTTATTGAAGAGACATTTTATTTTATTTATTTATTTATTTATTTATTTACTTAAGTGTTTTATTTATTTATTCATGAGAATCAGAGAGAGAGAGAGGCAGAGGCAGAGGGAGAAGCAGGCTCCCCACTGAGCAGGGAGCCCGATGCGGGGCTCGATCCCAGGACCCTGGGATCATGACCTGACCTGAAGGCAGACGCTTAACCATCTGAGTCACTGAGGCGCCCAAAGAGACATATTTTAAAAAATCAGAGATGAATACCTGAATTTGTGTTCCATAACTTTGAACGTTTTGCCCACTGTTTTTTGAGTTGTGCTCAGGCTTAGAAGTACCAGCACTGGCCGTCAGGGATGGCCCTCCGGCCATGTTTTCAGTACCATTTGCAGCCATTCCTGCACCCTTTGCTACAAGCATCCTCCACTGCACACCTTCCTGGAATATACTTTATGCTGTTGTTTAAACTATGCCATCTGCCTTAAGTGTCCTTCTCCTTCTCCAGCAGCCCCAATCCTGCTGACTCTTGAGGGTCCAGCTCAATAGTCCCCTTCACTCAGTAACTGGGAAATGGCAGGACGTTGAAATATGGTTATCGAATTACGTCGTGAACCTAGCATGTGTTTTGGTGGAACTGATACTGGTCTGGGTGAAGTTGTACTGGTTTAAGGAGTCCTTGTCTTTGCCAAGTGAGGGCAGACAGTTCTAATTTTCGACATCCACTATAATTCTCTGAGAACAGAAGAGGATTTCTCTCTGGGACACGGAGAGGCAGGGCTGCAAATGCAGCAGGGGTCAATTTCTTTTTATTCAAGAGAGAAGACTGAACTGTGAGGGAGGCCAGCGTGTTCTTCCACATAAGTGGGAAAAGGAGTTTGTCCAACGGGCCCTAAGTCTTCATGAAATTGTTGATGCTCTGCTCCTTTTTTGCAGTTTAGCTTTATCAGAATGACCTCATAGCTGGTACACTGGGTTTCTGGGCCTTTTGTAAGAAAAAGTAATAAGCATACATGTGCATTTTTTAAAAAATCACTGTTGTTGGTTATCACACAAGGCACCTTCTGTGCAATAATAAACAATCCCTAAATCCCAGGGACTTAGACAAAAAAAATTTGCTTTTCTCCTGCATTTACACATTAGCAGCTGCTCATCATCTTGGCAGCTCTGCTTGTCAGTCTCTTCACTGGGGTATTAGGCTGAAAGAACAGTCCTTATCTGAGACATACTATCCTTGTGGCACACAGAAAGGAAAAAGAGAGTGGTGAAAACCATCAGTGGCTCTTCAAACTTCTGCTTGAGAGTGGGGTATGCCCCACACACTCACCCACCACGGACAAAATCAAGCCACATGGCCGAGCCAATGGCAGTGGAGCATGGATGACTATCCTTCTTCCTGGAGCTTCCAGTCAAATTGCAGAGGATAGGGATATATGCTCTTAAAAGAAGGGTGAGTGAGTTAGTTGTTAATGGTTATACAGTCTGCCAAAGCCACTTAGATATTACTTATAATGTGTGTGATGTCTATTGCTAATTGTGTCCCCTCAAAATTCACATGTTGAAGTACTAACTCCCAGGACCTATGGATGTGACTATATTTCAAGACAGAGTCTTTAAAGAAGTAATTAAGGTTAAATGAGTTCATTGAAGTGGGCCCTAATTCATAATGAGGCTGGTGTCCTTAGAAGAGGAGGAGATTAGGACACAGAAACACAGAGGGAAGACCATGTGAAGAGAGCGAGAAGGTGGCCATCTATAAGCCAAGCAGAGAGGCCTCAGGATGAAACCAACCTGCTGACACCTTGATTTTGGACATCTAGCCTCCGGAATTGTAAAAAAATAAAATTTCTGTTGTTTAAGTCACCCAGACTGTGGCACTTTGTTATAGCATCAGCAACTATAACATAATATGATGAACATATTAGCATATTTAATGACATTGATATTTCCTGTCTTTATTTTATTCAACTAACACCTATAATAATAATAATCCCTAATAAATATTAAGTATTTACTATGTGTTAAAGATAGCATTAGGCATTCTACATATATGATCTGTTTTATTCTCTCAAGACAATTCTATTATATAGGTACTAATATTATCCACATTTTGTATAGAGAAAATGTTATCAATATGGGTGGGAGGGTTTCAGAAACTTGCGCAAGTCTGTCCCCAAGTGGAGAGCTGTGATCTCATTCTACATCATCTGATTACAGAACTAGCTTCCTACTACCACCATCAGGGGACATTAGGGCATTTCATAGTATTATTAATCTCAAGAAAGTTAAGGGAATATAAAAATGTGAGTGAGCCACAGTGTGTGTCTTGAAGAGTTCGCATTCCAGTTAACAAGACAAGAGAAGAAAATATAATCCTAGGGAGGATAAGATAAATGTTATGTGAAAAGCTGTCCAGAATTGTTATTTATCACTTGGATGAAGAAATTGATGGCACAATTATAAATGTTGCTGATGATGCAGTTGGAAGGGGCAGCATATTCCTTGGATAATAGACTCGAAATTTTAAAAAGAAGATAAAACCATTGTGTCAGAGTGGAATGATTGGCCAAATCTAAAGAAATGATGTACAATGAATAAATAAAATGAACTTCTAAGTCCAAAGAACAGCTGGATCAGAACAAAAAAGTGAATGTAGACTGTTATGTAGGCAAAGGGCATTTTAGCTTTAGTAGCCAGATGTTTCACTCATTGTGGACTAAATCATTCAACAAACATTTATAGAGTGCCTCCTCTGTGTTTGGAACCAGAGATAGAAGGATGAGCAAGTCAAACTCAACACTCTCAGGGTGCCCTCACTCCAGTAGAGATAGAAACATAAGTATATCATTATAAAAGAATCTGATAAGATGCTTTTAAATGAGTCTGAATAACTTTCATAGGGTCAGTGGAGGAAAGTTGGGATGACATTTGAAGTTGAGAGTGGAAGAAGGAGCTTTCAGAGAAGAGAGTTCGTGACAATCCAGAAGGAAGGACCAGTAAGTAAAAATTCAACAGTATGAAAAAACTCAGGTTTAGAACAGCTCAAATATAGGTTTAATCATGGGCTGAGACATATGATGACACTGAAAAATTAGGCTGGGACTGGGTTTTGAAAGATAGTGCAGTCAATACTACAAAGTTTGACCTTTCTCTGGTATGTAACAGCAGGGTGATAAAAATTTCTAGAGTAGTAACATCACAACATTTGACTTTTTGGAAGATGGTTGCTGTAAGTCATGTAGAAAAAAGATCGGAGGTTAGAATAGTTTCAGTGAGATCAGTCAAGTGGTGGTTGTAATTCTCCAAATACGGAAAGTTGAAGCCTGTCCTAAGCATGTTCTATTAATATTCACACCAATGTAACAGGAGCGGGTTGTTCCCCCATCTTGGCTTGAAATGAAATTTTGAGCTATTTTTCCCACCCAGGATACCCAAGTTCAGGTGCTGGTTCCTCATACACCACCGCAGTTCATTCAGATGTCCAGGGTTCCATCTTCTTTTAAGGAGCCTTAGAAGGTTCTAGACTATTAAAAAGAAATGCAGTAGAGTTAAAATAGGCTGAGTAAAATCTCAGAATATACATGGGTGACACTCCTATTAGGAAATTCATGGGTCAGAGAGTGAGGTGCAAACAGCTTTCAGTGGAAGACCTTCATAATAGCAATGCTCCCAGGCAGGATAACATGCAGTGCTCTGGTGAATGATGATGGATAGCTCTCAGCATTGGCATGGCTCCATTACCTGTTCATAAATTGGCCATAATGGTCTTTCTTCCAGTAGAGACTGAGTTCTTTCTAAATACAATCTCTCCTCTTCTCTCTGTGATCTCTCCAGGTTGTTTAGAAGGTCACCATGACCTCGATCTTTGTCAGGTTCTCAATTTTCCTATCTACTCCCTGGAAAACTGCAGTCCTAATTTATTATTTATAAGCTAATTTTATAACTTGATCTTTTAAATCTTTGTGTTTTGGTTTTCAAAAATGATTCCCTTAAAAAGCTTGGTCCTTAAAAATCAAGAGCTTTCAAAACTATCATCTTCAAAAAAATTTGCTGTTTTTCTTTATATTGAAAAAAAACTCTCCTTAAACTTTCCTCCTCCTATTCCCCTTAAACTAAGGGGTATCTCTGACAGGTTAGGTCCCTATATAGGGACATACTGGATCAGGCAAGTACTGAAAAGTAAAACATATTAATTAATTTTTTTCAAAATATAATTTTATTAAAATAATTGTTTTTAAATCTAGGTAAAATATATGACATTCTAGAAAAAGAAATTTCCCAAAATTGACTCAAGAAGAAACACAAATTAGAATAGGCTAATAACCATAGGAAAAAATTGAATAGGGTGTCAAAGTACTAAACTATCTCAAAATAAAGATGCCAAGTTTTATGTGTGGTGCCTTTAAGGATCATATATAATTCCTATAATTAGGAAAATGCTCTGAAGCATTGGTTTTCAAAATGTCTAGGTGCAAGAATCACTTGGGGAGTTTCGTAAACATACAGACTCCTGTTTCCCCATCCTCATCTTCTCTTTGAAACTTTGATGCAGTAGTTACAGGACAGGACCCAAGAATCTGAATTTTAAACAAACAGATGCTTGGAGAACCATGCAATCCTTTGAGAAACCTATTTACAGCTGTGGTCTTTAAAATGAACTAAGCATGAAAAATCTAATAGGGTGAGGAAAAATTTACCACTTCTATGTATTTTTTTCCTAATCAAAGAAAGATTTTATAGTGTATGTTTTACTGTTTGACCTGGCACCCTCTCTGAGTTCATAGGTCAGGTGGCCAAACTACACACAGGACCCAGCAGAGAAAGGTCCTTGGAGGAAAATATGGGTGTCACCTGGTCCTCTCAACTGTCACATTTGCCCTTACACACTGCATTGCCGTTGTCCTGGTTACATTATATAGTTGTCAGTAAATGAATCTCTACAGAAGTGACAAGTGGCATGATTATGTTCCTGAATAGAAGCCACAGATGGAGGAGAACACTGCTAATAAGATAATATTTTTACTGCTTGTAGTTCAAAGAAAAGACATCATCAATCATATTATAAGACAAAAACAAAGATGATCTAATCAGATATGAAAAACATCAGCCCAAATAATGTTAAATGATAAAAAATGTTACTAGTAACTAGGAGCCTACACATAGGATAGACAACAAATCTTATTTCCAAGTGTACATTGTACCTTGAGAGTTAACTAATGACAGGATGAGATCATCAGGATATAGGACATTTAAAATCTAAGCATCGAGAATATTATTAATTTCAGTTATACATATAACTTATAGATAAATGAAAATATATATATTGCAGTTATATTCTAATATCATTTTTCTTTTTTGTCTGATAGGTGCACATCATCAAAAATGTTAGACCCCTTCTTCAATCAGGGCTATTCGAAGGGCAGTCCATGGATAGGCAGCAATCATGAGCTATGTGTTGCTTGTCCATGATAAACAATTGAGAGTCAGTGTTCAGAAACTTTTACAGTAATTTGACAGAGTAATTATATCTGTTAAATCTAATAATAAATAAGTTTAATTTGTATTTTGATTGTTCTTGTTTTTTATTTAACTTTTCCAATAATTTCCTTCTATTTTAACAAACGCAGAAATGCATGATTGATTGGAAACTAGGAAAAAAAGGCCTTTAACCACAAACCATTTGCAAAACACTGTTCTAAGGCATAGAAAAACATGTAAACTATCCTAACATTTTTTAAAGTTAGTTTAGTCCTGATAGTAAAACCTGACAAATATCTCACAGAAAGAAATATACAGTGGAATATTATGCAGCCATAAAAAGGATGAGATCATGCCATTTGTGACAACATGGATGGACTTAGAGGGTATTATGCTAAATGAAATAAGTCAAACTGAGAGAGACAAATACCATATGATTTCACTCATATGTGGAATCAGAAAAAAAAAATGAATAAACAAAAAGCAGATTCAGACCTATAAATACAGAGAACAAACTGATGGTTGCCAGAGGCAGGGGGTTGGAGGGATAGGCAAAATGGATGAAGGGTGGTGGGAGATACAGGCTTCCAGTTATGGAATGAAACAGTCATGGGAATAAAAGGTGCAGAATAGGGAGTATAGTTAATGATATTGTAATAGCATTTTATGGTGACAATTGGTAGCTACACTTGTGGTGAGCAGAGCATAATATATAAACTTGTCTAATCACTATGTTATACACCTGAAACTAATGTAACATTGTGGATCAATTACACTCAAGTAAAAAAATTTTAAAAAGAAATATACAAATTAATCTCAGTTATAAGTAAAATATTAGCAAATCAATCCAGCCTCAAATTAAAATACTAATATGCCATGACCAAGTAAAATTTTGTTTTTTTCTCTTTATGTTTTGAATTATATAGTTCAATATTACAAAATCCATTAAGATATGTTGTTATACTAATTGTTTAAAAGAAACAACATAGTTATCTTAAGAAATACACAAAAATTATTTTATCAACAAAGCAGGTTATTAAAGAGTAATGAGTACACTTTTTCATAATTATATATCTAAATATATTTACCTTTATGAATGAGCATAAAACATCTGGGACATTACAAATCAAAATGCGTACAGGGGTTATTTTTGTTTTGGTTCACATTTCTTCTCTTTCCCCTCTCCCCAGCTTTATTGAGATATAATTGACATATAACAACGTGTACAGCATGATGATTTGATATACACATATTGTGAAATTATTACCACAATAAGGTGTTCACACATCCATCACTTCACATAGTTACCTTTTCTGTGTGTATGGTGAGAACATATAAGATCT